CTCAGTCCCCTCTCTCTCAGGGAGATATCTGTACACTGACTGGTGTCTCTCAGTCCCCCCCCTCTCTCTCTCAGGGAGATATCTGTACACTGACTGGTGTCTCTCAGTCCCCCATCTCGTGTGGGGGAAAAAAATGAATGAAATGCAGACAAGCAACACCGTTCTGTACAGCTTTATTCATTCTGCAGACCGCCTTCCAGCTCGCGATCCGCGGCCAAGCATCCAGGGGTCATTGCCGCGTCCCCCACTTTCCAGGCCACAATTTACCAGTATGCGCCCACCTAACCTCCTATGCATCGTCCCCTTCTCTCCCCCCATCCCCACCGGACAACGCTGCTGCCCCTCCAGTGCCAGGAGAGAGAACGTTCAGGCACCAACAGGAACATGAGGCAGCTCGAAGGAAACACAACGCCGCTGTTCCAACCGGTGCAAAACAAAATACACGTATGCTCCGCGTTGGATGCAGCGGGAACAGGAGCAGACCAGAACGAATCGGCACTGACAACGCTGTGATCAGCCGCTGCATCGGGGGAAGATGGCTTGCAACAGAACGTCTGCATTTCACCAGCGCCCTTCGTCACGGTCATACCATTCCCCTGCAAACCACCACCACCTCCCACCCCCCCACCCCCAAACCAAGCAACCTCACACCAACGGTGCAACACATTCTACAGAGAGAGGCGACAGGGATAGGGAGGGAGGGGATTTGAACAGGAGTGTGAGGATTGTCGGGGGCTGGAGGAGGAGGTGACGGAGATAGGGAGGGAGGGGATTTGAACAGGAGTGTGAGGATTGTAGGGGGCTGGAGGAGGTGACGGGGATAGGGAGGGAGGGATTTGAACAGGAGGGTGAAGATTGTAGGGGGCTGGAGGAGGTGACGGAGATAGGGAGGGAGGGGATTTGAACAGGAGGGTGAGGATTGTAGGGCTGGAGGAGGAGGTGACGGAGACAGGGAGGGAGGGATTTGAAGGGTGCGGGCGGGAATGGGAGCACGTCAGGATTCTCAGTGCAGAAGAGAGGATTCAGCCCATTGGGTCTGCACTGACCCTCAAAAGACTATTGTGCCCCTACACACCCCTACTGTATCCCTGCATTTCCCCACGGCCAACCCTCCCTAACCCCCACATCCCTGGGGCACTATGGGTAATTTAGCACGGCTAACCCCCACATCCCTGGGGCACTATGGGTAATTTAGCATAGCCAACCCACCCTAACCTGCACATCCCTGGGCACTATGGGTAATTTAGCACAGCCAACCCACCCTAACCCGCACATCCCTGGGGCACTATGGGTAATTTAGCACGGCCAACCCTCCCTCACCCCCCACATCCCTGGGGCACTATGGGTAATTTAGCACGGCCAACCCACCCTAACACGCACATCCTTGTGCACTATGGGTAATTTAGTGTGGCCAATCCACCCTAACCCGCACATCCCTGTGCACTATGGATAATTTAGCACGGCCAACCCACCCTAACAGAGGAAATGTACCAGGATGTTGCCTGGAATGGAGGAAAGGTCTTACGAGGAAAGGTTGAGAGAGCTGGGGCTTTTCTCTTCAGACCGACGAAGGATGAGAGCTGACTTGATAGAGGTGTACAAAATGATCAGAGGGAAAGACAGAGTGGACAGCCAGAGACTTTTTCCTAGGGTGGAGGTAGCTATTACGAGGGGATGTAGTTTTAAAGTGAGTGGAGGTAGATATAGGGGAGACGTCAGAGGTAGGTTCTTTACTCATAGAGTGGTCGGGGCGTGGAATGCATTGCCAGGAGAGGGTAGTGGGGTCGGCCTCATTGGGGGCGTTTAAGCGGCTATTAGACAGGCATGTGGATGATAGTATAAGGTAGGGGCGGAGGTTAGATAGACCTTAGGTTTAGGGTAAAAGTTCGGCACAACATCGTGGGCAGAAGGGCCTGTACTGTTCTACGCTCTAACCCGCACATCCCTGGGGCACTATGGGTAATTTAGCACGGCCCACCCTAACTGCACATCCCTTGGGCATTATGGGTAATTTAGCACGGCCAATCCACCCTAACCCGCACATCCCTGGGGCACTATGGGTAATTCAGCACGGCCAATCCACCCTAACCTGCACACCCCGGGACACTATGGGTAATTTAGCACGGCCAATCCACCCAAACCTGCACACCCCTGGGGCACCATGGGTAATTGAGCACAGCCAACCAACCCAAACCTGCACACCGCTGGGGCACCATGGGTAATTGAGCATAGCCAACCCACCCTAACCCGCACATCCCTGGGGCACTATGGGTAATTTAGCATAGCCAATCCACCCTAACCTGCACATTTTACAGACTGTGGGAGGAAACTCACGCAGACATGGGGAGAACATGCAAAGTCCACACAGACAGTCGCCCCAGGGTCCCTGGCGCCATGAGGCAGCAGGGCTAACCACTGAGCCACCATGCTTTCCAAAGTGAACTTCCAGGGAGATGCGCAAGTCTCTGCGGTGTGCGCAGACATGAATCCAGACTGCAGGATCCCAAGGCGAAAGCCAGGAAGTGGCGTCTAGCTTGGGAGAGAGAGGGACCCTTAAAAACAAGCCCACATTTTCCAACAAGAAATGAGGCAGTCCGAGTATGCCCAATCTTTAATCAACCCAAATTGATTTGGGGAGAATGCTGACAGTTCGAGGTCAACAGAGGATGGAGTTTAATTTGGATAAATGCAAGGTGTTGCATTTCGGTAAAACAAACAAATAAGGGCAGGACTTACACAATTAACAGTAGGGCCCTGGGTCGTGTTGTAGAACAGAGGGACCTGGGAGTGGGGGGGTTTTGCAGGGACATAACCCTTTGAAGTTAGCGTCCAGGTAGACAGGGCGGTGAAGATGGCATTCGGCACGCTCGCCTTCATCGCTCAGACCCTTTGGGGGGATGTAGGAGTCAGGGACGTCACGTTAAGGTTGTACAGGGATGTTGGTGAGGCCTCTTTTGGAGCAACTGTGTGCCCAGTTCTGGTCCCCCCCCCCCGTTACAGGAAGGACGTTATTAAAGCTGGAGAGGGTTCGGGGGGAGATTTACCAGGATGTTGCCGGGTACAGAGTGTTTTGAGTTATAAGGAGAGGCTGGAACTTTTTTCCACTGGAGCATCAGAAGGTTATAAAATTGTCACATTGAGGTTGAACAGGGATGTTGGTGAGGCCTCTTCTGGAGCAACTGTGTGCCCAGTTCTGGTCTCCCGCCGATCCCTTTACAGGAAGGATGTTATTAAAGCCGAAGGGGGTTCAGGGAGAGATTTACCAGGATGTTACCAAGTACGGAGGGTTTGAGTTATAAGAAGAGGCTGGAGCGTAAGGGGCAACCTTATCGAGGTTTATAAAATCATGGGGTCAGGAATAAGGTTAATGGAAGGTGTCTGTTCCCTGGGGTGGGGGAGATTTCAAGACGGGGGGGACACGTTTTTAAGGTGAGAAGAGAGAGAGATTTAAAATGGACACAAGGGGCAAATTTTTTTTTACACAGAGGGTAGTGCATGTGTGGAATGAACTTCCTGAGGAAGTGGTGGATGTGGGCACAGTTACAACGTATAAAAGGACATTTGGATAAGTACATGGATAGGGAAAGTTTTGGAGGGGTATGGGGCCAGGAGCGGGCAGGTGTGGCACTGGGCTAGTTTGGTGACCGGATGGGCCAAAGGCACAGTTTCCTCGCCACGCGAATCCGTCCCGCAGACTCGCATCCCTCGTCTCTGTCTGAAACAGGAGACCCGTTCCCCTCCCCTCACCCCGATCCGAAACAGCGTCCCTTCGAGTCAGGAGGGTGAAATGTTACACAGGGTGTTCCAGCCGGAGAGGCGAGGCGAGGCGAGGGGCGGGGGTCTCAACGTCATTCCCAACACGCCACCACGTCCGGTTGAAGCGAGACTCTCCCAGATTTCCTACTCCCACTCCCCTCGCAATAAAGGGGGCCAGGCCAACCTCGTGAGCTTGGAAACCAGTCGAAGCTGGCCACCATTTTGACTGCCCTTCCACCCTTGGCTGTTGACGGAGTCAAGGACAAAACGAGGCTCGACCCCCAGGAATCTTTTGGTGGGGGGGGGGATTGTGAGAAGGCAGAGAAGGATAGATGGAGCTCCTAGTGGCCAACTCAAGCTCAGAGGTGGAGTGGACCACATCCAACGAGACTTGTCCCATTCGGCAGGGCACAACTCCAAAAAGTGGCGTGTTTTTTTTAGCGTTTCCTGGTATACTCTTTACCCTTCAATAAACACCGCGGTCGCTCTTAGCCCATCAAGGCACAACGCTGGTCCGTTCGACTTGCATTTCCTCCCTTCTCCCCCCCACCACAACCACCCGCACGGGCAAAAGCGAGGGCGTCAGGGAGTGGGGAAGAGGAAGCACTGGTCCCACGAAAACAAGCCCCTGGGGGCTCAGAAATGGAAGTTGGGCGAAACATCCGTGAGACCCCGCGCAGCGAAAGAGGGGAAGGTCGGTGGGGGGGGGGCCGGGTCCCGAAGTGGTGGTGGGGTGATGGCAGGGGGGAGGCCGCGCGTCAGCCCTCCCCGGGCGCCTGGGCCCCCCTGCCCCTGGGAAGGCACTGGTGCCCATGGAGCCCGGCCGAGGTGCTGAAGCTGGCCCCGCAGTCGGCGCAGACGCGCGGCCCCTCCCAGGCGTGGACCCTCTGGTGCCTCCCCAGGACGGAGGCCCGAGAGAAGCCGCGCTGGCAGACCGGGCACTTGTGGGGCCTCTCCCGGCTGTGGGTGCTGCGGTGCTGGGCCAGGGTGGACGACTTGGTAAACCCTTTGCCGCACAGCGGGCAGGTGTGGAGCCTCTCGCCGGCATGGGCCCGCTGGTGCTGCAGCAGGCTGGAGGAGTAACGGAAGGCCTTGGGGCACTGCGGGCAGCGGAAGGGGCGCTCACCGGTGTGGGTGCGCTGGTGGCTGCGGAGGCTGGAAGGGTCGCTGAACCTCTTGTCGCACCGGGGGCAGCGGAAGGGCCGCTCGCCTGTGTGGGTGCGCTGGTGGATCACCAGCATGCAAGACCTGCTGAAGGCCTTGCCGCAGAAGGGGCAGGGGAAGGGCCGCTCCCCGGTGTGGGTCCTCTCGTGGCGCCGCAGGCTCGACAGCTCGCTGAAGGCCTTGGCGCAGACCCGGCAGGAGAAGGGCCGCTCCCCGGTGTGGGTCCTCTCGTGGCGCCGCAGGTTGGACAGCAGGTTGAAGTCCTTGCCGCAGACCCGGCAGGAGAAGGGCTTCTCCCCCGAGTGCACTCGCAGGTGCTGCTTGAAATTGGAATACTTGTCGAAGCTGCGGCCGCACTCGCTGCAGATGTAGCTCTTCCGGCAGGGGGTTGGGGTGGTGGTGGTGGTGGGGGGCGCCTGCTCTCGCCACCGATGGCCGCTGCTCCACGCCCACTCCCCAGCGCCCCTGCCCGGGGTGGGCTCCTCTTCCGCGGGCAAGGGAGCTGCTGTTAACCTTTCCTCAGCCCCTGACCCTTCCTCTTCCTCCTCCTCCTGGGTGGCCATCTCAAGAGGGCGGGCGGTAGGGCCCGTGATGATGTCCCTTCTCCCTCGGGGATGCGGGCTCCTGCTGGAAAGGAGAGGGAGGGGGGTGGCTGTTGGCAATTCAAGGCCCACCCTCACCATTCGCCCTATCCCCATCCCCATTCACATTCCCCCTAATCCCATTCCCTCCCATTCCCCTTCTCATTCTTCCCCATTCCCAGTCTCCCACCATTCATATTCACCCCATTCCCATCCCCCCCATTCCTACATCCATATGCCCTTCACTCCCATTTCCCCCCATTCACAATCCCTCCACTCCCATTGCCCCACCATTCATATTCCCCCCCC